CTGAAGAGGTCTCCAAACTTGCTTCTCAGGTGACTGCAGGACACGTACAGATCATAGAGGTAAGCTAAAATACACCTTTCTGGGGAGGAACACTCCGAGGGATTAACGACGTGCTTTACCACCCCGCACAACCTGCAAAAATAAAACCACTCTGAGGTCGTTCCAAGACACCCTGGAAACACGTCTCACGTTGTTACAAACCATACAAACCCCACCATTAGCTGGGCAACGTGATGACAGGCCTTGTGTCTACAGGCTGGCGGTGTCACGACAAGTTTGGTGTCACCTGTGCGCTTGCCTGGGCCCCAGGGAGGACAGGACACAGAGGCACTTGGGGAGCCCAAGGGGGAACAGGGAGAATGGGCAAGAAATCAAGATACACAACTTCTCCCTTTTCCTTGGTCACAAAGCGTGCAGGTCCCACCAGCCCCAGCAGCGAGGAGCCACCCGCTCCCCTCCCCTGAGCTCACTCCCAGCCTTCCAACAGCAGTGCGATAGCTGCTCTCCCTACCTCAACCTAAACACATTTTTTGCTTAAGAGAGAACACCAAAAACACTTTTTTGGAAAATTGGAGGTGCCACAAACCCTTCAAAGACTTGTGCAGTCTGCTCCGAGTTGAGGATGAGGCAGGCATGGTACCGCCGCAGAACGGCGACGATGCAGACGCACAGCCCTGTCGTGTAGCTTCCTGCCAGGCTGGACGACTTCAGCAGCAGCTCTGCCTCCACTACGCTCAGCTCGTTCAACAGCTGCAAACACACACACAAAAATAATGGACTGAAAATAACTTCCAAGTTAAACATCTAAAATAGGTGCAAAAAAACCCCAACAAACCGTTAAGGAAAAACTACCTGGCAAACAAAAATGAAATTCCTTACTCACTACAGAACAAGAGAAAGAAGGGGCAAAATAAACTGTTAGAGTATAAAAACATCCCTCAGAAATGCTCTTCAGAAATATATGGCATTTCTGGCACCCAGATGCTTTACTGTATAATATGATGGTTCAGTCTGAAACAGTGAAGCTCATCCTAGAACACTTTGTGCTAGAACAATCCAGAATTTTATCAGCTTTGAAAGATTTTAAAATAAGATACATCTATTGATTCTCCATAATTGTCAAAGTAAGAGAGAAGGGGAAGTATCTGGCACTCTGTTTCAGAGATCAGGAAACTGAAACAAATAAAAGCCCATGGCAGCAAATCAGGAGGATGTGTAGTTCAGCTCTTGGGTTTTTTTTCTGACTTTACAGAAAATGTGTCACAGCTTTATCCTGACACAAGCGCCCCTAAGAATGAACTCTGTTTACTTGTATTGCAAAGTCTAGAAGTCCATTGATATTCAGTGCTGGCTCCATGAGATCAAAGATGAGCTGTATGTGGTGAGCCAAGGGAAGATGATAAGATGTTCCTGAGGCAAAACTAGTTATCTGTTCGAGAACGTTACTGGAGATCTGTGAAAATAAATATTGAAAAGTCATATGGTGGCTGAGGGTTCTCAGATACACGGGTGCTCCAAGAAGCCTTATTTATAAGTGGTAGCAGCAAGTGACAGCATTTTGCAGATAAAAGCACTAACAAATCATGTGTGAGTATGATTATTCTACTATCCTGCAAACCAGTTGTAATGCCATTTTCTTTTCAAAACTGACAACACAGAAAATGCTGTTCTGCTGCTTTACAGCTGAGAGTCAAACTGTTCTTAACATCCACAATACTGATTTTTATTCTGTGGGGCAAAATAATTTTTCTTTTCATTTTTTTTCTTTTTTCAAAACACGTCTAAAACCCTAGATTTGCTTCCTATTTGGTATCTCTACAGCAGAATGTAAAAGGCTACGATTTCGTACAAGGGAGGTACCTGAGATGTCACCTGATGTTGATCAAAATAGGACAGTTGCTGCAGTTTTGTGAACACGGTCTCTAGGGTTGGAAACGCTTCTTGTTTGGTCTTCCTGGCTTTTTGCCCTTCATCCCCAACTTAACAGATAAAAAAATATTTTGGTCATTTTATATGTAATGAAGCCCTAGTAGTTTTGCATTATTACTGATTTAAAAGACAATAAAAATCTTAATAAGCTTTACTCATGACTCCATAAAACCTTCCTTGCCTCAGACAAACACACGCCACAGCACCTACCAATACCAAAGCTACTTTGAGGTTATTCCAGTGCAAAAAGATGACACCAAGAAAAACTGAAAACCAGTGACAGGGCTTTAGTAGGAGGGTGAGGAATTCATATCACTCGCTGGCCAGTGTCTCGTATGCCAGGCTTTGCCCCAACAAGCGTTTCCAGCCACGCTGCTGCGATGGCAAACAGGGATTAACCGCGGCCGCCCGTCGCTGTCCTGGCACAGCCGTGAGGCCAGGCAGCACTTTGTGCTGTGGGACTGTCAGTGCTTCACCCAGGGACTCCCAGGGGGATGAAACCCACGTTATGTGATCCACATGCAGGGCTCCAGACAACCTGCTGAGCACCTCAAGCTCCCGGGATCTTTGCTACAGGCTGCGGCACAGCAACGTTAAAGCATTTACCACCCATTTCAGTCGTGCTCTTCTTATTCAGAATTTTGAGGATGTCTTTGGTAATCTTCTTCAGCTGATGCCTTGCCTCGTCACGCTCCTTACCAACACCATAAAGGAGAATCATGCGCTGGTTACACTCATGACTTGAAGATTCATCCTGAAAAGACCAGATACGAGTGAAATCTCTTTTCCATCATCACCTGCAGAAACCCCACCCCAGCAGCCCAGACTGCAACAAACAGGATCTGACTCTGCATCACAAAAAGCATCTCCTGTGGTTACCAGTGCAGAGGAAACAGCATCAAATGAAATCACTAGAGAGAAGGGTAAAAATACAGAGGGGAAAAATGTCATCTGCTCTCATGACTTCTGTATGTACCTATAAGGGCAAGGGACACATGCGGAGGCCCCTCCTAACTGTCCCCCCGATTGATATTCAGGAGCAGAGTAGTAAATAGGTGTCTAGAAACTGTGTGACATTTCTCTTATTATGTACAAGTCCAGTGAAAAAAGGATACAGCCCAACTCCTAAAATTCCATTTTGCACATCCCAAGGAAACTGAAGCATGTATAGTTTATTTAAATTGTAAACAGTTATATTTATCTGTATCATGTAACGCTGACACACTTATATAACTCAAAAAACCTGGAGCACTGTTCTGCAAGTCCTAAAGTATAAATACTTTGTTCAGTAATATACTTACCTTCTCCAAACTAACCAATCACTACTTCCTTCAACTACTTGGGAAGTTTTTAAAAAATAAGGTTGTACAAAAATACCACTAAAGAATCACAAAGCAAAAAGGTAGCAGACAGGAGTGCAACTCTGCACTCAGAAAAGCTGCAGTCTTACAAAATACATGCTCCCTCTTAAAAATAGTGACTCTGTTAGTAGTTCAAAAGCAGGAAGTAAGCTTCTAATCGTTTTCAAAATTTCTATTTCTCTCTCTTCTAGAGGAAACAAAAGCAGAAGCACTGAGAGCGTCACCTGGAATGTGCAGCTGCCTCCAGCTAAGAAAGCAGTTCAAAGCCAGAGGAAGGGCTGAGTCTCTCTCACAGCTGCTCCTCCAGCCTCTCCTGGCTCCGTGGGATTCACACATGAACGCAGCTGCCTGCTCACACGGTGAAGAGCTAGAGGAGCCGCGACCCGCCCGCAGCACCAGCTTCCCATCGCGGGAAATACCCCAGGGTCTCCTCCCTTCGCAACAGCAGGCGACGGTAAGCTGCTCCTCGCTCTGGGGTGGGGGACGGTGTCTGATTTTGCTTGCTCAGGGAATACCTATTTCATCAGGATTAGACTTGGCAGCTGAATCTGTTACACATTTCAAAGCACAAGCCAATTTATTTCTATCTTGCAGATAGAAATAAAACTTTAGAGCTCTGTAAGGAAGAATGTCAGGGATGTTTGGGCACCGGCTGACAAAGCATCGACTCCCCCGAGTGCTTTATTTGACAAAGGCAGAGATCATACAGGAAACCAGCAATTTGCACAACCGCATCACTACACACCTGGAAGTTACTCCTTTTGAAACACGGATTCAACATCCTTGCCTGGCTTCCCCAGGCAACCAGCTCGGATCAGACCTGATCCGACGAAGGTTTTGGGACCAAGAGCAACAGTTTCCAGCCCAGCCCCTGTTCCCAGTCAGGGAGACACCAGCCATGCAGCGGCTGTGGATGACTGGCTGGCTGATGTGACTTGGTTTGGTGGCATGAGTGGACTCGGAGGGACGCAGTGCTGGGCAGGGGGCTCGGCACCACTTCACACTGCGCTCACTGCAGAGCACACCAGGCTGCAACTCCTGCCTGCTGGCTCCAGTCAGGGAAGTTTATATTGACTGGCAACACAGCACCCGTAAAGCAACTGATTTAGGAAAATGGGGATGAACTGTCAAACTAGAAGTAAAGGTGCACATGAATACCTACATAAATAACACTACAAGTAACTTCACTTTGCTGGCAAATGTGTGACACTGCAGTAACAGACAGCTAGCTGTCCAAGGACTAATACACAGGGCTGATGAGCAGGTCCTCCTCTCTCACCTTCTGCCAACAAACAGTGACTTTGTGAGGTGCCACATCCACCCTTTGAGCACCAGGGTGAAATGGTAGCAGCCTGCCAGCAGCTATTCCCAGGGACTGAGCAGGGCAGCGGGGGGAAAGCAGAGATCAGCTTCAAGGACCACAAAGAGAGGCTGAAGTAACACCACCGGGAGAGGCAGGCAGCCAGCCAGGCAGAAATACAACAAACGGGCATTCGATGCCCTTCACTCCAGCCCAGGGTCGTTAGATCTGCAGGCAGGAGGAGTTTCACTGCTGTTCCTGCCACACTAAGGAAGAAGCAGAAAGGGATGTTTCTCCCTCCTCCCTACACAAAATTAAAAGTAAACTGAAAAGGTTGAAGCCTTATGACAGGTACAACTCACAATTTCATTTTTTTTCTGTTTTGTTTTTACAGGGAGGGGTGCAAAGACAAAGTGCAAATGAAAGCCACAACCAACTTCAGCTACTCAAGAAACGACAGCAACTGCACTAGCGATAACAAAATTAGTCAAGTCATTTTTCCTTTGCTTTATCTAATTCTGTTCCTGGTGGGTATCACCATGAACAGCCTGGCAATGTGGGTCTTTTTCAAAATATCCAGTAAGTCCAATTTCATCATCTTCCTCAAGAACACTGTCATTTCTGACCTCCTCATGATCTTGACTTTTCCATTTAAAATCCTTAGCGATGCAAAGCTGGTGTCATGGGTACTGAGAGGATTTGTGTGCCAGGTCACCCAGGTTGTATTTTACTTCACCATGTACATCAGCATCTTGTTTCTTGGGCTAATAACTATCGATCGCTATCAGAAAGCCACGTCGCCGTTCAGAACAGCAACACCAAGGAGCCTTTTCAGTGCCAAGATCCTGTCCACAGCAATCTGGATATCAATGTTTGCTCTTTCGTTACCCAACATGATTCTAACAAACAAGAAGAGAACACCTAAGAATGTAAAAAAGTGTGCTCTCTTGAAATCCGAGTTTGGTTTAGTCTGGCACGAAATCGTAAACTACATTTGTCAACTCATCTTCTGGGTTAATTTAGCAGTGATAGTTGTGTGCTACATACTCATAAGTAAAGAACTGTACAAATCCTATAAAAGGACAAGAAGCACGGGACAGGCATCCAAAAAGACTGTAAATCTGAAGGTTTTCATCATTATCGCCGTGTTCTTTATCTGTTTCGTGCCATTCCACTTTACTAGAATCCCCTACACGCTGAGCCAAACACGAGACGTTTTTGAATGCTCTGCTCAGAACACCTTGTTTTACTTGAAAGAGAGCACACTGTGGCTGACATCACTAAACGCTTGCCTAGACCCATTCATATACTTCTTCCTTTGCAAATCATTTAGAAAGTCCTTGCTAGACACGCTGCGCAAGCACACGGCCTCGTCAGAACTCAGAGCACGGATGAAGGAGCAGAACGAAGGGGATGACACAGACGAGACGCCGCTCTAGAGCCAAGAGCTACCCACAGCCCTTCTCGGCCACATACATTTATTGGTGGGTGGAAGCAGCACCAATCCTGAGGAAGAATATCTAGAACTTCACCGACCTCTTTAGAAGCTGACCTACAGATGAAGCACGAGCACCCTGGAACCAACATCACTGGCTGCACAAATAGTGAAACTAGAAAGCTGGAATAAAACAAGTGCCAGCTGATCACAACCTCCACGCTTGTCAGAATTGCTGGCAAGAAGTCTGAACTTATAGTGGAGCTGTAAGGGAAAAATTAAAACAGAGTCATGAAATGCCACAGATGAGATTATGAGCTGCAAAAATTTTGCAGAAATAGCTTAACCTGGGCCTGAGTAAAGCCTGTGACAACACAAGACCTGGGAGATGCAAATAAAATCCACAGTAAATGTCCTTTTTAAATACAGGGAGATGTCACAATGTATGCAACTGGCAGACAAACAAATATAGGACATATGTAGACAAGATATTTATCTGTGCACATTTCTGGTAACAGAGTAATATTTTGCTTATCTCATTATATGCTTGTAATTCTTAATCCACTGACCCATAATTAATGGTTGCATGTCAGAGGAAATCATTTCATAACCAGACTTTATCTTGATGTGAGTTATGTCTTCAGATACTTCACCCTACTACATGAATAAACAAAAACGTACACTTTTATAGAGAACAATGTCTTATATTAGAAAATACAAAGGCTCAATTTAAATACTTAGATCTTACGGAAAGAAAGACTCGCAGTAAAATCTCTACTGATTACTAAGGGTGGCTTTTTTGCATTGTACAAAAAATTTAACCACTTCCCCTTTTTCACTTGGAAAAGTTGAAAAAACCCAGGGAAGTATTTTCAGGTACGTAACATTTTCAGGTATCATAACAACCAAAAAGATCCCAGGCTATTGTAACAAATTATGGTTCATTTATCATCCTGTGAAACAGCTCCAGTTCAGAAACACGTTTCACCATCAGGCAAGAGCTCAGTCCTGCCAAAAGCCGTTGCCTGCCCACCTCTGCACTACTGCCTGTGCATGCCGGGGCGCTGGGCGCCTTTACATCCGATATCCCATCTCCTAAAAAGTCAAAAGGCAGCTCACTTGCTTTAGCACCCAGCCTTTGAGTTCATGCAGCTCTCATAACCTGCCTGTACGAACTAAGTATTTTACAAACCGTTTCGTGCACAGCTTACGCTGGCACATGCGCCAACACTCGGGAACTGGGCTGCGCCGCAGAAAACTGGGCACCTTCACTTCCCTGGAACCAGCGCTGCGGGTCACCCCAGACCACGCTCTCCACAACCAGCCCCACAGGGCCCAGGACCATCAGCTCCTGCTGATGCCTGGAAGGGAAGCACGAGATGCTCCACTTCCACCCAACGCTCATTCCCCACATTTTTCACTCCTACACATGGAGCGAGAGTGGCAATTATCTGGCAGCTGCTTTTCCTGATCAGAGGAGCTGTTCAGACAAGAGATGCTCCAGCCACCTGCGCACCACAGAGTGGTCACTGGTAGGATACATGGACACACTCAGCCCCTGCCTCTTCCTGCTGGGAACAGCGTCAAGAGGTCAGTTTGGAAGAAAATGCAGAAGATGCTGCCTTGGACATCAGCCCTGGGGTACTGCAATGAACCTTCTCAGCCTTACATAGCCCTTGATGAATGAACAGAAGTTGGGTCAGGCAGCTAGGGACGTGTCACACTGATGACAATGGTGACCTTCACCCTGGTCATCCTCAAGGCTCTCTGCCAGCCACCTCACACCGACATCAGCACACACATTAACCAAAACACACGTTCTAATGCACAAACTTATTGGCAATACAGCTGCAGCCTGGGAACCTCAAAAAGCAATCCATGTCTGGCCACAAAGGGTGGCCTGAATGTGAGCCATTTCCCACACAGCAGCAAGCACGGAGCCAGAACCCCAAGTGACATCAGTTGACAGGAAAATATCAGCCTAATCACAGGACTCAGTTAAACTTACACAAAAAGCTCTGCTTACAGAGAAATGCACTGGATTCTGACTTTATACGCAACAGACACACCACAAATACAAAGCATACCATGTAGCGGCACCAGAAAGTGGCTGTAACCAGCACATCCTATCACCCGGCCACGCTGACGCCAAAATAAACCAGAAATCCCATTTTGGAGATCAGAAGTCAAGTTCAGGTCCATGTGTCAATATTAACAAGCTAGAGAGGAAGGGGATACTTTCTGAGTACATCAGCGCACACGATTTTGTCACCAAGTAACCGACTGCAAGGCGGCTCTGAGCAGAGTTTCTGGTCACACATTTGACAACGACTAGTGCTGTCCAGAACAGGGGAATTCACACACACAGACAAGAACTTGGAGCAACATTTGAGGATTACCCTGGAAAGGTGTCAGGAAACACTCTGATCGTTCATCCCACATCTCTAAAGAAGTCAAATCATGACAGCACAGCATAGGTGCCATCAGGTCTGTCCCACACCAACAAAAAGCCAGAAAAGGTGCCTGCCTTGATGGATATGGTCATCTTCTTTCTTTACTGGCACAGGAGAAGGTAGTGTACTTTCTGACAGAGAGCAAAAGGAAGACAGAAAAGCAACAGCAAACACGATTAACTAACTCAGGCAATACATGAAAATGAGGAAGGAAACAACACACCAAACCAACAGAAAAAGTCTCATTTTTCTACACATTTCCCCATTCCTAATACTTTGCTCGAGGCTTCTGTCTGCAGCGGAACAGCAGATGAACCGGAGATAACCAAAGACCCCTCTCTGAAACAGCGGCTGCCAGGTTTGCTCAGGTACTTGTGTGATTGCAGCGTCCACGTGGTGTGATGGGGCACTTGGGCACGTGGCTTTCAGATGTGAGAGACTGATAACCAGCAGTGTGCATCTTATCTCAAAAATGTTACTTAAATCTGTGCTGAGAAAGGAAAAACATTGTGTGCTTGGTAAGAAATACCAGAAGTCGCTACCCCAGAAGCACCTTGCTTTGGGGCCACAGCTGTAAAATTTCTATTCTGTGTTAAAATACATTTCCATGTAAGGACAAATGGTGCTCTAGGTAATCTGCTGTTATACCTTGCTATGTCATCTTAGGTGCCTGTCATGAATATACACCATTTTAACTTTTCATTAGCCATTAGTTTGTAAGCAACTTAAAACTTAGGCAAAGACTTAGATTTTCTATGAACTAGGAGAGAAACTGGTCACTATTTAATGCACGTTAAGGTTTTGTGTTTATTTCTGTAAACCTGCTAGTCACTGTAAGAGACATTTAATTTTAAATACAGAACATTAAGTTTTATGTTTTCTTTCTCCTTTTCACCCAAGCCTATTTCAAACAATGGGAGAATTTGCAAACGAGAGTGTTGTCAGTAACTCCACTGGAGCACCTTCCTCCGCACAGTGCCACCGGGACACCACGGTCACCCACCTGGTCTTCCCAGTCCTGTACACGCTCGTCTTCCTTCTGGGACTCGTGCTGAACTGCCTGGCTGTCTGGGCTTTCTTCCATATCCCAAGCACATCAACTTTCATTGTCTACCTGAAAAATATCTTAATTTCTGACTTTATAATGACCCTGATGCTCCCTCTGAAAATCCTGACGGACTCTGGCCTGGGACCGTGGCAACTCAAAGCCTTTGTCTGTCGCTTCTCAGCTGTAGTATTTTATGAGACCATGTACATCAGCATAGTGCTACTGGGTCTCATCGCTTTTGACAGATTTCTCAAGATTGTGAGACCTTTTGGGAAGTTCTGGGTGCAAAACCTGACCTCAGCAAAGATCCTGGCAGGTCTGGTCTGGCTCTTCTTCTTTGTTCTCTCTCTGCCTAACATGATCTTGACGAGCAAGAAAGCAACACCTCAATCCGTGAAGAAGTGTGCCTCGCTGAAGAATTACTTGGGACTCAAATGGCACGAAATCGTCAATTATATCTGTCAGTTTGTCTTCTGGACTGTTCTCATCCTCATGCTTCTCTTTTATATAATTATTGCCAAAAAGGTATACGAGTCTTATAAAAAAACACAGAAGAAAGACAACAAAAGTGAAAAAAGGATCAAGGGGAAAGTATTCATCATTTTTACCGTGTTTTTCTTATGCTTTGCCCCTTTTCATTTCAGCAGAGTTACCTACACGCTGAGTCAAACGACCACCCGAATGGACTGCCGCTTGCAGAACCAGCTCTTTGTTGCAAAAGAAAGCACTCTGTGGCTGGCTACCACAAACGTCTGCATGGACCCCCTGATATACATGTTCTTGTGCAAACCATTTGTAGAAAAGATCCTATGCAGGAGAGTGAAGACATTTCAGAAAGCAGTTCACACAAACCCAAAAACCGAGCTGGACACACGAACATCTGCTACTGATTCTTGATCCTGCAGCTTTACACTCTCCAGTCCCTGCGTATTCATAGAGAAGTTAAAAAATAGTTTGTTTTACTTCTGCTGTAGAAAATGAAAGGGTGGTTGTACTGTAATATTAATACTTAATAAAAGCAGTAAAATGGATTTCCCGGCTTATGCTCGCTGCTCAGCCTAACCAGGCAAAAAGCTGTCACTGGCAAAAAACTGCTGGCCCTGCGCTAACAGCGACCTTCCCCCCGAGCTGTGCTCTCACCGACACCACGGCCGGGGTCCAAAGCTGCGGGAGCCCAGCGTGCCCCAGCTCAGCCACAGCACAGCCGTGCTCCCACCGCAGGGATCGGTATCGCCACTGAGTCACTCGAGCGGTGTCACAGCCACAGCCACACCGGTCCAAACAGAAACGCAGCGCTGATGATGCAGAAACTAACACTGAGAGGTCTGTAGCCTCGCGTTGCTCTGCTGGTTCTGCACACAGAACATGGGTTTTTTGATTCGGTCACTCCATCGTGTCCACCTCACAGAATACAGACAAACTGTATGAATTAAAATACCTTCATATAACTTAATAATCTACAGAATAACTCCATTGGCTTCAAACAAAAAACCTTACTTAACA